GTGGGTTGTGTGGACACCAGGGGCCAGGCGCTGTCCCCCTTTGCTGTTCAGAGCCTGGGGTGGGTGGTAAACCCGTGGGCGTTCAAAACCTCCCCCAGTTCACATTGCTGGGAGCCAAGCTACCATGCATGGGCGAGGGGCCCAGAGGGCATTGCAAGAGAACGTTCTAGGGCCGCGCCGGTGGGGGCATGGGCAGGGTTGTTGGCACGGGTCACGGTGGCTCTCTGGCCATGTACGACCTGTGGGCGGAAGCCTGTTCTGTCCCTCTGGTCCTCTTGGGAAGAGTTTGGTTCTCGGGGCGGGGGGCAGCTCGCAGCCCGCCCCAGGGGGTGACGGCCAACCTGCCCTTCCCGTCCTGCCCCGTGGGAGGCGGGTTCTGGGAAGCCCTGGTATGGAAAAGGCGAAGAGCCCCCGCTCCTGAGAGAACACTGCCTGACCCGGCCCCTTTGCCCTCTGGCACTGGAGAAAGGCCGTTGCCATTCAAAACCTCCAGCGGCCAGCGCGTTGGGCTGGGCGCCCGGAGATCTGGGTTCTATTCCTAAGTCTGCTAAGTGATCTGGCCCAGTTGCTTCCTGCCCTGTGCCTCAGTTTCCCCTTTTCCCCCGGGCTCTCCCCAACTGTGAGCTCTTTGGGTCAGGCACTGGGTGCGATGTGCTGTCAAGCCACGACTGCAATACGCAGAGTGATCACGCCAGCTCCCGGCCTCCTGATCCAGCCTTCCCGCCCCCTGCGGCTCCCTCACTGCTCCGTCTCCGTGTCTCGCAGGCGGGGGGGTGACCCTCTTCATTGCCTTGTACGATTACGAAGCCCGGACAGAGGATGACCTGACGTTCCAGAAGGGGGAGAAATTCCATATTATCAACAACACGTGAGTGTCTGCCAGGACTGGGCCCCTTCCCTGCAGAATGCTGCCTCTGCCCCTGTGATGTACTGGCAGGCCATACCCCCTGGGCAACCACTGGTGGCTGTGTGTGGGCGGGGGGTGACCCCTACTGGCCGTACCTCTAGGCAAAGACCCAACCTGTCGGACCAGTTGAGGGCAGGCAGGGAGCAAAGGAGGGAGGTTTTCGGGGGAAGGGGCAGTTACTGGCTGAGAAACAGGAGGGAGGGAGCCTAAACTGAGGGCTGGAAGTCTAGGGGAGTGATGGACCCCCCTAACCCAAGGGATCTGAGGCATCCTTGCCCAGACTCCTGTAGCAAAATCACGTCTATGCTCTATTCCCTTGCTGGCGGAGACTGTTCTTGCTGCTACGGGGCTGCAGGATTTGGGGGAAGCCCGACTTGGCATCACCCCCCCCCACCAAGTGCATTTGGGTCTGATGCTAGCTGGGGCTCCCCACCCAGGCAGCCCTGCTCCAAGAGCAGCTTGGCCTACGGGCATTTGTACCACAGCTCTGGCCCTGCTCGTAAGCTGTTTCTGCCATGGCCTCATCCCCTTGTGCCTGGAGACCCGAGGGGTCAGTGTTTGAATCTGGCTTTGGGTCACTGGTGACATGAGGTGGGTGGCCTCGGTGCGCGCGCACACACACACACACACACACACACCCCTCCATGCAGGGCCGGATTAAGACCTTTAGAGGCCCTAAGCAGTGAAAAAATTATGGTGTCCCCCCCCATACGCAATTCAAAATAAAAACAATACTAGACCGTAAAATATTTTTTTTTTTTTTTTTGTGCTCCAGCTTTGCTGGCGCCCTAAGCCATGGTGCATGGTGATGGCCAAGCCAGCGGAGCTAGGCTGCATTAAACCCACTGGGACCGGGTCTGCCGGGCAGGGATGAACCCCAGTGGCGGGGGGGAGGGCGCAGACCTTGCTCCCGGTTCCAAGCTGGCCGGCCCTGGTGGGACAGGCTGGGAGTAGCTGAGGGATGGCTTCTCTGGCAGGAGTGGCGTGTGGGAGGGATGGAGGGGCGTGGCAGGGTCTGCCTGCTGGGGACGGCGGGGGGCTCCCTTGCAGACTCTGACTCTGTCTCTTGGTTCCACAGCGAGGGCGACTGGTGGGAGGCGAGGTCCCTGAGCACAGGGACCACAGGCTACGTCCCCAGCAACTACGTGGCCCCTGTGGACTCCATCCAGGCAGAAGAGTGAGTACCGCAGCTCTGGCTCCGTGGGGGGTGGAGCCGGTTGGCCGCTAGAACTGGATGTAAAGGGGGGAGCCAATGACACAGGGATGTCCGAGAAATGCTCCACTCCCCACAGAGCCCCTAGCCAAACCCACCCCTACCCCAGCTCACACACGGGATCTGTGTTGAGGCATCCCGGCTCTAGGAGTGGCCTCTCCATATTGGACCAGCTGGGTCACCCTAGTCTGGTAACCAGCTTCCAGCAATGCCTGGTACCTGATGCTTCAGATGAACTCTCCCATGATGCATCTTGCCTGCAGGTGGGAGGAGTGTTTCCCTCCTGGCCCCTGTAACATCAGTTAATGCCCTGAAGCATGAGAGTGGATTACCCCTTGCTTAGTCTGGATACACCTTCCGCTCCCAGGTTCCCAAGCACTTTGCACTCAGTGTTAAATTCATCCTCACAGCCCTACAGGGAGGCAGAAGGGGCTGCTTATCCCCAGTTTGCAGAAGGGGAAACTGAGGCAGAGGGAGACTAAGAGGCCAACACTTTGATCCTGTGATCAGGGACCTGAACTATTTAAGGGCAGGGCCCAACACTGAAAAATGTGGCGCTGGATACTAGCCCAAGGTCACTCCAGCTGGCAGTGGGAGAGCCGGGAATAGAACCCAGGCATCCTGACACCCAGACTTTTGTTCAAAAAAGTCCCAGACATTCTGCCCCACCCAGTACTGCTTGGGCACCTGTCCACATCTGCCCAGCTATCGCCTTCTGCTGTCTCCCTTGCACTTCGAGGCCCCAGCTGAGATCAAGGCCCCGTTGCATGTACAGTGCCAACACGCAAAGAGAGAGTCCCTGCCCCAGAGAAGCTCCAGCCTCTAGAGATGCAGGCTGGGAGAACAGAGGCTGCATTCTTCCCATTTTACAGACGGGAGACCGAGGCTCCTGGGAGAGCCAGTGACCTTCCCAAGGGATCTTGGCACTCACTGAGCTCTGCGTCTCAGGGCTGGGCTGTAGCCATCCTTCCCCGGCCCTCTGTCTTCGTTAGAGTCCCAAACCTTTCCCTTCCCTTCCCGGGTCTCCCCCACTCCCGATAGGTGGGGTGCGGGCGAGCTGCGGCTTCCCCTGGCCTGTTACTAACCCTCTTCCCCTTGCCCTCTGTGCCAGGTGGTACTTCGGGAAGATGGGGCGGAAGGACGCTGAGAGGATGCTGCTGTGCCATGGCAGCCCCCGAGGGACCTTCCTCATCCGGGAGAGCGAGACCACCAAAGGTAGCCGCTGCGCCCTCCACTTCCGGGGAGCGGTGGGTTCTGGGAGGAGGACAGTCTGGGGGAGGCAGCAGCAGGATGCAGCCAGCCCGGATTGTGGCACGACAGTGGGGCGGGGGGGGGCTGCGCTTCCCAGCACACAGCAGCTGCGTGGCTGGGAATAGCCCCCGTGGGAATCCTGCTTTCTCCTGATTGGCTGCCCAGTGCCCCCTGCTGGTGCCCACTAGCTGCTCCCACTGCCCCCTGCTGGGTCTGTCTCCAGCCTGACCCCTTTGCTGCCCCTCCCAGGTGCCTACTCCCTGTCCATCCGGGACTGGGACGAGGTGAAGGGCGACCACGTGAAGCACTATAAGATCCGGAAGCTGGATACTGGTGGCTTCTACATCACCACACGAGCCCAGTTCGACACGGTCCAGGAGCTGGTCCTGCATTATAGAGGTAGGGGGGGCGAGCCGGGCATGGCACGTGGCACTGAGGTGGGCTCAGCCACAGGGGCCTTGTGGTCTGGAGGCCCCAGGCTCGGGGGGGGTGAGGCCGGGGGTTCGGCTCCAGGCCCGTCCAGACTGAAGTAGGAGAGCGGGGGAGCAGGAGGCGCTTGCTGGGGGCCTTGGGAATGCCTTTGGCCTTTCTGCACCCTGCCCCAGCTGCAATGAAATCCACCGGCCTGGCCTTCCGCCGTCCCCAGGCCGTGACGAGAAGCCTCCAGATCCGAGCTGGAGAAGCAGAGAGCTAAGAGGGGCCGTCTCAGGGCGGGGGCTCCGGGAGGCATCGCCCCCCTGCATGGGGTGAGCCCTGGGGGTGGGGACCCTGTGCCCGGGTGGACGGGCCTCCGCTAATTCCTTGTGTCGCAAATGAAACTCGCCCCGGCTGGAGCTGCCGAAGCATCGCCTGGGACGCGGTCGCCACCCGTGCTCTGAGGCACGGTGAGCAAAGCAGCAATGGGGCGCAGCC